CGCCCAACCCCCATCCCCAGAAGCAGAAGCTAACCCCAGGAAAGGCAACGTGACAGGCAAGGCAATGTCATCTGGACCAGCTGTCTTCCCACTCTTCATAGCAGCCCTCACTTCCTCCTTAGTAATCCTTTGTCTTTCCTTTAAAGGTGGAAGTACTCCTTCCACTCTTCACTTCTCCTTGATCACCCTAACCTGTTGCACAACTCTTCTCTGTCTTTGCTTAGCCAGTTGATAAAAGTCCTTTTTTCCTTCCTTAGTGTCTAGCCTCACGTACAATATCAGTTGGCCGTCTTGTCCTTAAGAATCGGATTATTGTGCTGAATTAGATGATTTGACTGTAATGACATCTGTGTGATGGGCCACCACATAAGCGCCCAGACTTAACAGTGTAAATCCTGGCCTGGTGATTTTTATGACAAATGTTGAATTTATAAGACAAACACAAAAATGGTATCGAACTCGCATTTTATCTGTCAATAAACTATGCTAGGATGGTTATATGAGGCAAAAGATATTTTTTCACATATTTGTCAGAAATACTTGTCAGTTGTCAAAACAATTATGACTCACATGGATAATATTGGTTGTTTCTTTATTACTTCATGGACTACAGAGTGATTTGGTCAATTATTGAGAACACAAAATGATGAACGCATTGATCCTGAAGCTGACGCTGCATCACACGTACTCTGGTGTCACTACAATCTGGTAGGTGAACTGGTCACCAGCACAGGGATAAGGAAGGACCTGAGTAGCATTCGCAGAGACGGAAGCCATATTGCTTTTGAAGTCCTGGATTTGACAAACATACTGGCCCTGGCAGACCAGCAAGACCCGGTTACGAAAGAGGATTTCACTTTGGCTGATGTAGTTTTGGGGTGTCAGCTTTGCCACAGGAAAAGACTCACATCTCACACCATGGTTTGAACATTCCTGCCTGTTCATGAGAATATTTGCTTGCCACCTCTTTACAGTGTCTTTGAAGATGAGGCTGTTGTGAACAGGTGTGCTGAATGACTTGGATCTGGTTTGACTGTAGGAAGAAGTTTCATAGCCATAGCCGTGGATATAGCGGTTATTGTAGCGCTGCCGTTTGTCAATCGGTCTTGAGTGGGTTTGAGAGGATGATGTTCTGATTGAAAGCTCTAAAACGATGCTCCAGGGCTCAGCAGTGTAAATCCTGGGCTGGTAATCATTATTTTCTTTGCCGAACTTTTGCTTTGTCAGATTACTAAAGAGGAGCACGTTAAACTGAAAAGCTTTCAACATATTATCACGATACATGGTCTTGTGAGTGCTGTAGAGTGGAGAGCTGGACTCTATCACATACAGCTTCTCAGCAGGAATCATAGGAAAACGAATGCGTCCCAACAGATCAGCCTGCGTTTCCAAATCGATGGAGTCGCCTTTCTCACTGATCCATCTCTCTACAGACTGCAGCACAAAATATTTATCTGACGCCACCAAATCTGAGCGAGTAAGAAGAGCTCTAAGAAGCCCCACTGAGAGGCCGGACCAAGCTGGAGACCTGGTCAGGTTTTGGTAGTTCCAGGCCATGTACTGGACACAGTTCTCCTCAAGCACTAAGTCCTTGGTCTCCACTGCATACTTGTAAAAAGACACCTGGTTGTGAAAGGTGGAGTCTTCTGGGAGGATTTTAGAAAACAGTCGGCCAATGTCCTCCATCAGCTGCTTTAACCCAAAATTAGAAGCCATTTGGTGGAGACACAGTGCAGAGGAGAGGGTCACATCCATCTTACGGGTGTAAATGTACCTAATGAAGATCAGATTATTGAATATTAGAATATTTCATGTTTGAATTTGTACACATTTGTAGATGATTGCAAAACATTTAGATGTTTTAAAGAATAAGTCATCTACTGCAAATGCAGCAAAACATTACGTTCATTATACCTGATGAAGGAGGTGAAATGTGGCTGGCAGGGCAAGCTGAGGTTGACTGTGATGTTAGTAATCCCCACTGAAGCATTAAAGAATGGGATTTGTGACAGGATCATTTTGTGGGCACAGATGGTTTTCTCACTTATCTCTGGGGTCCCATCCTCCTGTTTGTTCCCAGTAGGACTCTGCACTACGATCAGGAAGTCACAGCCATTTCCATCATCAAAGATTTGGCCGAGAAAGTCAGACAGACCGATACTGTGGTCCAGTGATTGTGTAGAATCATTAATGTCCACATTAATGCCTGAAAAAGAATAATTAATTAAGCATTGATGCCACATACCAGTGCTACTATGGGTTCTACATAAAGTTTTTTGTAAGAGTTTTGAGACCTACTTCCTGTTTCACAAATTACTCCAACATCTTCTTTGTGCGTGCAGTCAGTTTCTCCCCAGCCTTTGAATTCACAGGTGAAGAGATGTGTTTCTCTGCCTTTACAATTGATGTCATCCAGCCAAATAGGTCCAGGCGCTACAATGGAAATGGACACAACACTGAAAAAAACTGAATCATCTTGCCATAACATATTAGACAGCACTCATTCACTCACCTACCCTTTTGTTAGGTACACCTTGCTGAAACTGGGTTGTACCTCTGGGTTGTTTACACCAAATTCTAACATTACCATCCACATTGTGTAGCAGAAATCAAAACTCAGCACACCAGGAAACAGTTTTTTCAATATCCTATTGTCCAATTTGGGCAAGCCCATGCAAACTGTAGACAGGGTGACTCAGTTTGTGCAATCTGAGCCTGCAAATTGCAGACAGGGTGAAACAGGGTGACACACACTAAGTGACACTCTGTGTCACTGGCCATTTACCTCTGACCTCTGGCATCAACAAGGTATTTTTGCCCAGACATCCGATACTCACCGGATACTTTTTCTTTTTCAGACTGTTCTACAGGTGCTTGTGCAGTGAAATCCAAATAGATCAGCAGTTTGTGAAACACTCACACCGGCCATCTAGCACCAACATCCATGCAACATTCAAAGTCACTGAAATCACCTTTCTTCCTTATTCTGTTGCTCAGTTTGAACTTCAGTGACTCCAACCATGCCTAATTTCCTAAATACACCGAGTTGTGATTGGTTGCTTAGAAATCTGCGTAAATAAGTGTACCTAAAAGTGGTTGGTGAGCGTACACATACATGTAGAGTTGCTTTGTTTAAACTGAAATCACAAACTACAATTTCAATCATTTCACTGCCCTCTGGTGGTGGATCAGTGGAAATAAAAGCCACCTTGTCCGTAGTCCTTCCCAGTCACAATAGATTTGGCTCCAAGGAAGTTGAGCTGGCGACACAACACCTGGGCGTCAGCCATGTCCCAGTTGTCGTCACACACTGTTCCCCATTTCCCATCATGGTAGATTTCCACACGGCCCTCTGACACGTTCTTAGAGCCAAACAGCCTCACATCACCTTCCCGTGGCTCATGATTTCTGTCTATTCAACATAATAATATATTCTTTTTTTAAAAAGCCAGAGTAAATACATACATTTTTATTTCATATTGAACAATATTAATATTGTTAGCTCATTTTGCATCCTGTAAAAGATCAATTAAAGCAAAATAAAACAAAAAACTATTTTTATGACACTCTATTCCAACCCTGAATTTTCTATTTTGCTTTTTGACTTTTGTTGCTCTCTGAACCTTTGAATTAATTAAACACACTTTTATTTATATTTTGCCAAGAAACTACAACAATGAAATGACCGTCTATGAGTAAGCACTTGGTGACAGTGGGGAGGAAAAACTCCCTTCTAGCAGGAAGAAACCTCTAGCAGAACCAGGGAGGGGCAGCCATCTGCCACAGCAGCAAGACATTAATAATAACTGACAATAACTAATGATTAAATACATATTGGTAAACAGAGTGAAAACACTATTTCTCCTGTATCTTGATTGAGATAAAACAAACAAAAAAGTAAACAGGCCTTTAATTCTAAAATCTAGTTAATGACTAAATCTGCCTCCCTTTTTAGGAGACACAACCTCGTGAGCTATTTGTTCTGAAAACACTGAGAAAGCAATCAACCGCTGCTGTATCCCACAAATGACTTCATTCTGTGTATAAAAGGTGCCTGATATGAAGTACATCAGTTAGAAACTATTCCAAATCAGCCAGTACATTTATCAAAGATAGTCAAACAAGACTGCATGTAAAGAGAGCACAGTCAGAGCTTCAGGTCTCCAAAGCCCGAGAGCCGTTACGTAACTAACTAAATGATCATAGTCATTACATAACTTTGACACTAATGTATATTATTTACACTTTTTTATTATTATGTGTAATTATAAAACTAGGAATATACTTAAAAGTATTTGTGGTTTGGATTACTCACTCAAAATGTCAAATTTGTACGCCCTTCCAGAGACGTACAGAAGTAGGAGAAGACAAAGACTATTTCTAGGCGGGAGCATTTACAACAGCTAGTGCACGACTCTAACACAAAGACAAAAAAATAAGAAGCGGCAAATGACACATGCTCCATCTGCTTTACTTTACGTCCTAAAATGATCCTCCAAAGAATAAATAATCAACCTGCTCAGTACTTCCAAAGAGTTACTATATATTTCCATGAGATAGAGAGGAAGATCTATTCAAATTCAAACTGATAGCACAAAAAATTAAAAGCTGAAACTTTAAATACAAACTTACCTAAATCCTTACGTGCAATAAAAACGCATTACCTTCTTTCCTGTGGTTACGAAGTTGTGTTTGAGGTCTGTGAGCACATACCTGATTGCACAACTGCTCTTGGTTTAACAGGAACTTGTTTGAGGACAATGTCTAACTTTGGCAGATTGTGTGTTGAACATGTAAAAAGATATGACAGGACTCAGAAAATAGGAATTAAGATTTTACTCAGTCACCTCCCTCCACACACACACACACACACACACACACACACACACACACACACACACACACACACACACACACACA